ATTGAGAGCAGATGCAATATTATCAATATAGTACCAATCAAAGCTATTGTCAATAAATATCACATCACTGGAGCACTCAAGATGATCACTGAGTTTGAAGAAGCAGTCGATGACTTCTGTTCAAAGATAAAGGTCAAGTTCATGCTCAACAAGAAGCTGTCACTAGCCGTCAGTTCACTCACTTGTGAGAGAGTGGAGTTTGTACTGGAATGGGAACCTGATGAACATACACTTGATGACATTAGACGTCTCTTAGAGAAAGCATTTGAAGACTTGGGAAAAAGGATTATTGTACGAAGCATTCATCGTGGGAACTCCATCATTATCATCTGTTATGGTCCACATCATTTACTAGCTGCTCTTCTCTTGGAAGCACAAGACAACCTAAATGTCTTGATGAAGGAATTCAGTTTAATTAGACTAACCATTGGCCACTACACTGTCTATGATAAAAGGATCAGATGCGAAGTATAAGATACTATAACTGTATGAGAGCTTGTTTAATATTATGTACTGATTATAGGTAATGAATAAGGAGCGTCTTGCAGAGGAGATTAAACTAGCTGATGGAGAGGAACAAGAACTGAGGACTTTACTTGATTACAAAGAAGGTGTGTGAGTTGATCTATTACTTAATTACTGATGTTATAGTTATACTAATGGTATATATAGGATCAATATTTGAACAAGATAAACAACTGCATATCATCAGAAAAAGAAAAGGTATACAGTTAGTGCTGGAATGATGAATTTATTGTATTTACATGTATAGAGTATATTGAACGGACACTACAGACACCAGGTATAGTACTAACTTAAAGCATGTATTAAAGTAATGTGCAGTTGATAATCATTTGAACAATCAGTACAATTATTTTATGAATTAAAATTCTGATTGTTTCATTACTGTAGAGTCTAAACTGAAAGTGAAGCTACTGACTAGAGAGAAGTTGATTAATGAAATATTCAAATCAAAGAAATTAGAGACTCAGTATTTCCGAACCTCTCTCCTATTGAAAGCAGGTACTGAGTCTACTGGTATAATCCGTCTATACTACCTCATCACAGGAAGAGAGGAGGCATTAGTGGACCATAAGAAAGAGATTGAGTTACTACAAGAAAATATATCAATAACTAGTGAACAACTGCTGATGAGTCAAAGGGGAAATATTGAGAGTATGTGATATACATGTAATAGTAATTAAATCATTAACTGATTGATAATATAGAGAAGGATCAGTGTACACAATCACTGGATACACCAACAGCAAAATCTATTTATACAGCATGTATTGGCTATTATGGAATGTATAGTAATGATCTTTCATTCAGTGAGGGAGAGGAGCTGGAGATATATAGTAAGAAGTGGCATTTTGAGTGGAAAGGAAGATCCTTGGTGTCTGGTGATGAAGGAGTCATTCCTAGTAGTTGTGTTTACTCAATATTGGAGTCACTTCAATTGTTAGAGTTTATACTGTCAGTGGAAGAAGTGTCCCTTCCTATTCTACAGAAGATAAGGAATGTTTCATCTAGTAATGATGAGAAAGCTTCTCTTTTCTTGGAGACTATAAATGATGATCCTATTATGATATCTGCACTGAGACAAGACAAGGAAAAACATGTTAAAAGTAATATTTGTGATTATAATTGTGACAGTCAGCATAACTATGTTGACGAATAGTTTGTTTTATTTAATGAATAATGATTAATGTTAATTCTGCACATATTACTGTTGGTGTATGCATGTGTGTATGATGGTTGTGATATAGTGGTACATTGTACTCAACAATTAATCAAATTTTAGTTCTAATACAGTATGTGTGCATTATATTCTTGTCCCTACATAATGTTCACATTACATGTGTGTATGTATGTACATGTGTTGTTTATTGGTTGTAGTAACAACTAGCAAGTTGTGTGTTTGTATATACACATGTGTATTAACGTGTATATAAGTATAATCCTAGCTTTGGTTTATTAGGAGTCACTGGGAGTGTGAATTACTGGTACAGTGACAGGATATACCTTTACTCTCCATCTCCAGTTCAGTGTAATGAAGTGATTAGTAATATTAATAATAAACATGAAGGGATTAGCCTCAACTCCTCATCTGCATGTACTAATAGTACAGTATTTCTACTATCATCACCTAAACTGCATACACTAAACCTGAGGAGTCTTGAGATACGGTCCACTCCATTAACTAATGATTGTATTCAGTACTTGTGTATACTACTAACTAATAATAAAACAATACAAGAACTAGTCATCAGTCTCTACTCCATTAGTGATAGAGGAGTTACTAATATCTGTCAAGTACTTGAGCACAATTATACACTTACCTTATTAGATCTTAATAATAATCCTCTCATCACTTCTACTAGTGGACAGGCTCTTTCTCAC